CAACCATAGCAAGTTAGTTTTTAACTCATGGGAGCAGCTAATATCTCAAAAGCTGATATAATACTTCAGCTACTTCTGTAAGTTCCAGTTAAGGTGAATAGGAGGCACCAAGTATGCAGAATGGAAGTAAGGAGAAGAAAATTCAAGTCATTTAAAACATATTAAAGGGGTCAGAATGATTCTATAGGGTATCTGGTCCTTAAGGTCTCTTAATAGGGTGTGTAACATTGGTTGGGCTGAAAATGGCATATTAGCTGTTCTATGAGCCCTAATGCAGCCTGGTTAAAAGCCCTAGAATGAAACGACAGGTTTCCTTCCTTTTATGGTATGATCATGAATATTTAGATGAGCTATGCTCTGATTGGTTGGTTTACAACGAGTGAAGCTGCTGAGGAAAGACGTATCATACCAACAAGCACTCACTCACTGAAACATCGAGATTGTAGATATGGTAGGGTGACCAGACGTCCTCTTTTTCCCAGGACATTTCCTACTTTTCATAACTCAAAAAAATTTTCGGTTGGAATTTACAGTGCAGCACGTAGTCGAAATGAACGGAGCCTTCAGCTCCGGGGTCGGTCCGGGAACCCCGGCGGACAGGGGCAGAGAGCCAGCGGGGGACGGAGCAACCAAACCCGACTTGGTGATGGTAGCCTGAACGCCGGCGGTCCTCTGCTTCCCCCCGACTGCCTTACCGGCCCCCAGCCCCCCTTCTCTGGCTGAGGACGGGGGTCTCATAGCTCTCTGCTGAGGTTCGGTCCAGTCAGCGGCCCCGCATTCGTCTCTATCTACCTCTATTAATGTTCTTGGGCCAGTGACCAAGTGGGCTGGTCTGGATGTCAATTTCGGGGTGTGACAAAAGTACAGGCCAGAACCAAATAAGGCAACATCCCAGAGTTTATGTCAACTTGGTGCTTCGTTTGGATTCGCCTCTTTTATTGAGGAAGTTTAGAATTGTGAGATTTGCAGAGAAAGGAGGTGTCGATGGGGTTTGAACTTCTCTCTACGTCAATTTCACCCACTGAACTATCGTTATTCATCTATAACACTTTGAAACTCGGTTTGCATTCTATGACCTCTTTAAACATTATGGGCTCTAGCAAGGGGAAGTGCTTTTCAAAAGCCTCTCCAGATCCTGTCCTAGACAAAACGCTGCAGAAAATTCCTCCTGTATTTAGCTCTCAACACATATAACAGCTCATGTAAAAAAAAAAAAAAAAAAATTAGTTACAACTTTAATTTCCCTTTAGGAAGATATTTCTTAATTTAGTTTATGGTAATACAATTTTTAGAGCTTATTGAGTTATAAAGGCGTAACCTTCCTTCCAAATCGCTCTGCTGTCTCTTTTCACTCCTGTTAGAATCCAGTTTAATTGTTTGACTCCATCATTGTCTTATTTTTCACCAGACCTCGGCTCTGACTCAGAGGAAAGTCAGCACAGCACCCAGTCTGCACACAGTGAAAAAACCCTGTTGGAGAAGCTGGAGATTTTGACCAATCAGGGCTTAATGCAGATCGTGAAGGTCTTCATCGATTGGCTCAGGACAAACACAGATATTATCCTCATGTGTGCACAGGTGAGTGGTTGATTAACCCGTCCGTTATGTTTATCAAATATAAGACTTTGTGTTAACTAACGGAGGTGAGCTTCCTTTCTGCAGAGTTCCCAGAGCTTGTGGAACCGTCTGTCTGTTTTGTTAAACCTCCTTCCAGATGGCAGCAAGATGCTCGAGGCTGGTGAGTTGGTCTCTCACTGCAGCAGCAGTCTTTTTTTTGTTTTTTTTTGCTGTGTTTTGATAAGTTGTTTGCTTAGCTGATCCAGGTGGTTTATTACCATTATAGCCGCTTCGAAACTCCTATCAAATGTTAATGAAGTACAAACATCGTCCTGAACTGCCTTTAAAACAGAAACGTTTTTGATCATTAAGTCTGGAACGGGCTGCTTCCATCATAATGAGAAATGTAATGCTGAACATTGCTTTGTGATGAAAGTCTGGGTGTTTTCTGTTTGTTCTGCAGATCTGGGGTTGAACGCAGAGGTGACAGAAATGTTAAAGGAGTGCGAACAGCCGGGATTGGTCCAGGCTCTGCTGCTGCCGGAAGACGTGGCTCTGCAACACCTCCCCGCTCTCGGTGTAGCTCACCGCCGCCTGGACTTTACTCGACGCAACACCTCCCTCACTCCCCTGCAGGAGGTACTCTCTTTAGACACCAGAATGGAACGTTATGTTCTCTGACATTTCAAATGTCCTCAAATAAACTGACGCCGCTGCTCTGGTTTTCTTCAGTTTAGCTATTTCTCAAATCTTTTCCTTTGAAATATGTCATATCCCTCCTAAACCCTTGGAGTCTAACAAAATGTAAATGACCTTCCTCCATGTTTTATTTGCAACATCACAACTAGGTTTGCATCAGTGTTTTTGGATTTTGTTTCTGGAAGCAAAGCCGCAGCTTTAAGGGGTTTATTTTAGGGATGCACAATATTGGGATTTTGGCTGATATCCGATATGCCGGTATTTTAAA